CCTAATATTATATTGTAGGAGCTAAAATTATTTATCAAGTCCCTTTTTGACTTCTAAACTCTATATGTATATTCCGTTCACAGGCAAGATAATTTTTCCAATATGAAAAAATGTGGTGTACTTTTTAAAATTACAGATATATTTATTACTTTTACTTAAAAAAATTGCAATTCAAAAGTTTGCAGAATTAATAAATATTTATTTATTTTTCGACGATGTTAAGGTTACAATTAAAATATAATTACAAACTCTGGGTCTGCTTTGTATCATTATAATTAGTACAGAAGCTTTTATAATTTCAAACATTTTCATTTCGAACAATATTTAATCAACTAAGTTTTCGATACTGATTTAGTTAAACTCGAAATGTTTTACAGAATAACTTTTTTTAATTATCTTCTGACTCGAGGGTTTATATCCAGTTATTTTTTAAATACTTTAATTAGTTTATATTTGTTAGAAATTTAAATATACAGGGTGTTATTGAAATACACGTACATATTAAAACTGGGTATTGCGCAGATCCCCACTGAATGTAGAAAAATATTATTTTTTAAAAATACCCCTTATTAAGGGAGTTATTAATTTTTGAAAATTAATTCTAAAACAAACGTACTTCACTGATATGTTGAGGATGACCTATATAAATTAGGTTTATTTACCTATTTTAAACATCAACAGTAATTAATATGCAAGTTTTTGTCAGATGATAAGAAAACTAGTCTTGTAAGAAATAACCATGTTGCCAAGATTTTCGAATTAATTTCTATTTCCGAAGACTGGTTTTTACTACCCTCGTTATCAAAAAACTAGAATATTTGATAAATGATTGTTTTTAAACTATACATTTTTGAAACTATAGATTATTAAAATTTTAGTTGATTTACGAATCTGGCTAACACGAGCGCGTCATTTCCAAGTTGGTAAAAAGTGTTGTTACGATTACTTTTAAATATTTTTTTACGATGCCACTATTTACGAATATTGAACTAACGGATATAGTGCTGGTTTATGGGGCAGCTGGAGAAAATTCTCGGCAAGCACAAATCCTGTATCGCGAACGGTTTCCAAATCGGAGAATTCCGGACTGTCGTACGTTTATTTCAACTGTTCAGCATCTAAGAGACCATGGAAAATTTGAGAGTGTCAATGCAGATCGAGGGAGAACAAGAACACAAAGAACATTGGCGGCCGAAGAAGAAATATTGGAAGCTGTTAAAAACCGGCCTCAATTAAGTTGTAGAAGACTAGGTCTTGAAATTGGAGTGTCCTCATTTGTTGTGTGGCGGACACTTAAAGAACAAGGTTTACATCCTTATCACATCCAAAAAGTCCAGGCCTTATATCCAGGTGATGAAGAAAAGAGAGTGGAGTTTTGTGAATGGATGATTCAAAAATGTGTTGATATTCCTGATTTTCTAAAAATATTATTGTATACTGACGAGGCTTCATTCACTCGTGATGGCGTGTTCAATATGCACAATACGCATATTTGGAGTGATGAAAATCCTCACGCCATTAGGGAAACTGGGCATCAAAGAAAATTTTCAATAAATGTTTGGGCTGGCATAATAGATCAGTATTTAATCGGGCCTTATGTTCTCCCGAACAGATTAAATGGGCCAGGATATCTCCACTTTTTAGAAGATATTTTGCCAGTACTCCTAGAAGAGATACCGTTACAATTAAGGCAACGGATGTGGTACCTACTAGATGGCGCTCCTCCTCACTTTGATTTAAACGTACGGCAGTTTTTGAACATTAGATTTCCTCAAAAGTGGATAGGCAGAAATGGACCTACTAAGTGGCCTCCGAGATCTCCGGACTTAAATCCATGCGATTTCTTTTTGTGGGGTCACATGAAACAACTGGTTTATAATGAACCTATTAATAGTGTTGAACAATTAACCAATAAAGTTAATGCGGTAGCCGAGGAACTACGACAAAATCCAAGACTAATTTCTAATGTTCAAAGTTCTTTGGAAAGACGATTGCAAGTGTGTGTAAATAATAATGGACGGCATTTTGAACAATTGCTGTAATAAACTTTATTTTGAATTAATTGGTTTTGCTACGGCAACAGTGCAATTTCTATGGGTAAGTTCAATTTCGATTTATTTTACTTCTTTAAATATGGAAACTAGTAGGTCGGAAAAGGGGACTCTTCCCCAATATTTAAATTTTAGAATTTGAAGTTAAAATTGGTGCCAATCGTTTTTGGTCATTACATACTATTCCCCATTTTAATATGTACGTGTATTTCAATAACACCCTGTATATATATATATATATATATATATATATATATGGGTGATTCTCGGATAATTGTGATTTACAACCGACATTATAAATTAGATCATAAACCTGTGTAATTTTTTTTAAGCAGCATATAAATATACTCGTAATGTCAGTACCGTGGCATGTCCGATTCTCATTTTTTAAATTAAATATGTAAATTACCATCAAAATTCATTTTTAAAAATATAAAATTTACCTCTTATAACTACAATCTAATGCATACTGCATTGAATTTTATTGCAATTTTATACCAATCTTTTGATTTGTAAAAAAAAATAATCATTTATATGTCAGTACCGTGGAAATAATGTCAGTACCGTGGCAATAACATTTTTAAATTTTGTCACAGTTTTCGTTGTGTCGTAGCTGTAGTAGAGCCACTTTACAGGCTTATTTCTGCGCATAAATGGAAAACAAATACGCGTAAAACACACGTTTTAAAACATTTTTAATTTTAGAAAAACGTAAGTTGTAAAAATCACAGTTACACGAGAATCACCCATATATGGGTATTGCATTAAAATGGGATACAAACGAAATTACAAAAGTCGGCAGGACTATTATATTAAAAATTATGAAAGCTTTGCAAATATTTGAACTGGTTATTAAAAATTTTATGTTTGGTTTTATTTTAAATTGTTTAAATACATTTGTACTATTTTGCTCACATTATTAGTAAACAGAATTGGTCAAACAGTTGAATCAAATTACTAATTCAATTCAATTTATTTATTGATAATATACTTAAGTTAAAAAAAAACAAATGCCTAGATCGCATTAAAGAAAGTATACGTTTTTTGTTGAAGGAAATAACTGTGTATCATTCATTCGAAATGAAAACACGCAATTTTCATAAAATAACAAAAAAAAAGTATGTTATGTTGGGACCTAAAATATCTATTGTGCCCCCTTCTGTCGCTAATTCAGCAAGGAAATGTCTCAATGCAAAATTCATATATATTTAGGGGGTTTTTCCGATGGGTTAAGGCGGAAAATGTGTCAGAACATACGAAAATACGGCCCTTTTTTCCAGTGATAGAAATAGTTCTAGTAGTAAGAGATGTACTGAAGTTAAGCAAAAAAATAGTCTGGCTATTCTGTGAGTATAGATAATATATCTGGCAGGTGAAAAACTGAAAAATTTTCATCAAAAAATTTCCCTCATTTTCGCAGTTATGTAAATTTATCAGATGATGGTATTCAGTGTTTTTCAATCTGTGGGTCGCGATCTCCTTACTCGGGGGGTCGCCGGCTGAAAGAAAAAGTCGAGGTTCTTACACAACAAAAACATAATTTTACTGAGAAGGATGTGCTTGTTTATTTTTCAAAAGTTTATCAAATTGTGGTGCTATTTTTGAAACGTTAATAATCAAATTATTTTCTAATTGCAGTCTATTTCTCTTTTTAGTTTTAATGTCTACCATTGAAGAAAATGTCAGTTCACACAAGTATGAAGTAGCAAATGTAACTTATAATTCAAGAGCTTCCCTTGCCAGCTCTGGATATTCGTGTTTTCTTTTCATACAAAATACTTTGCGAACATAATTCCATTTTAAGCATGCCATCAGCAGCTTAACCTAGAAGACATTCTTTTATTTTTGTGGTGACATCAGCCAGATCAATTGATTTGTCCAAAAAAGGGTTTAAAATCCATCTACGCCCATTGTCAGCTTCAAAGTGCAAGTCTGGAAAGTATGTCAAAAGTTTCTCTTGTAAATTATGCAAGCTCTGTATCATGCAAGGAATGTGAGCCGATACTGCAAAACTTTGGTCTGTTGCATTATCTTTCACAATCTTCTGAACACATGGAAAAGACTCAAACATTTTGTTTTGCAAAAGAAGTTGACCACAAACGAAGTTTTGCGTGAAATGCTTTAACTTTATCTTTAGATGTTAAAATATTTTCTTCTCTTCCTTGAAGGTTTTTGTTCAAATTGTTAAGGTGGCTAAAAAGATCTGCCAAAAATGCTAATTTCAAGAGCCAAATAGGGTCAGAAAAACGATAATCATATTCAGATTTTGCATAAGAACGTTAACATTTCAGCTCTCAGTTCCAGAACTCTTGTCAATACCTTTCCATTGGATAGCAACTTGACCTCTGTGTAATATAGGAGATTTTGATGAAGCGAGCCCATATCTTCACAATATCTTCTGAATAGCCGGGTTTGCAAAGCTTTACGTTTGATAGAATTCATATTCATATTACCTCCTTGAGCACTTCATTTAAATCAGAAGGTACTACCTTAGCAGCTAGAGCCTGTCGATGAAGAAAATAGTGTGTCCAGAATATGTTTGGCATTATCGATTTTAATTTTGCAATGAGTCCGCTATTTTTGCTAGTCATATCTTTAGCGCCATCGCTACAAATAGCGATACATTTTTTCCACTCAATATCGTAGTCGCAAGTGCTTTCTAAAAACATATCGTACAAACACTGGCCAGTAGTGTTTGCAAAATAAGATTTATTCCGTGATACTGTCATCTGCTTCAAAGCACACAAATACTACAAACTGTGCACAGTCGGAAACATCTGTAGATTCGTCAAACTGCAAAGCAAAATGTTGGCTGTTCTTTAATTTTTCGACTACTTGTTCTTGAATATCCTTGGCCATATCGTTTATTCTGCATGAAATAGTATTTTTAGAAAGTAGTATATTTTTAATTTGTTTGTATCCTGCTTACTGACCATAATTTCAATCATATCAAGTGCTGCTGGGCAAAATAAGATTTTCGGAAATTGTATGTGGTTTGCCTGCTTTAGCAACTCGATATGCGACTTTGTAGCTAGCTAATAATGTTGACTCGTTGACACTGGATGCCTGAAAATAAACCAAATAATATAAAACTAAATAGTCAATAAAAATTAAGGACGCGAAACCTTTGCACACCGAAATTAAGTATAATCAAAAGTTGTATGCAAACAACAAAGAAATAAACATCATAAAACATCCAACAGTAAAAATAGCAACAATTAGAATAGACTCGCCTTAAGCTTCGTGGAGACTAGAAAAACATTATTTTATTACTTACCTGAATTATATTATTTTGCTGCTGACTAAGAGTTTTCAACTTTCGTTCAAAGAAATCCAACGGCTTATCAGCTTCTTGTTGATGCTTGGTTGTGAGATACCGCATAAGCTTTGACGGTTTCATACTCTCACGTGATAAAACATCGCCGCAAATTACACATTGAGATTTATTATTTATGACTGTGAACCCGTATTTCAAACAACTGTCATCGTAATGTCTATTTTTTTTCGGGTCTGATTCACCACCACCGCTATTGACACTCGTACCAGATGTTGAAGGCTGCGATCTTTTGAGAAATTTATCCATTTTACAAACGCGCGGAGCAAGCGAAAAAACAAAAGAATGACGTCCGTACTCATCGGTGACTGCGCTTAACTGAGTGAGATGAGAGTTGAAACAAAAGAACATTGTGGGTACTCGCATATCGGGGTCAACACTAATCATTTGTAATTGCTGTGGTGGGAGGTGTTTGTGTGAATGCGTCTTGTTTGTTTTCATTTACGCCGTGACTAGCAGTAGTATTTTATAAACCTTAGAAGCAAATTTCACATACTTGAACAAATAATAATAATAATGCCGTGACAACAAGAAGACGAAGCAACATCCATACCTGGCTACGCCGACCGGCATGAACACCAACGGCCTAGACACAGCTCACCTACTCTGTCAAAAAGAGACCGATGTACAAATAAAGCGCATACGACATGCGCACTACAAATGATTAGTGTTGTCCCCAATACGCGAGTATTGCGGGGGCGCCCGCGGGGCGCTTACTGTCGCCGCAACGACAATGCGGTGTGGCAACGTCGTCATCGCCGACGCAGTTTGGCCCGCGTGAATAATAGATAAATGTACCAAAATAAGAAAAAATCATTACCTAACGTATGTAGTCTTTTAATTAAATTATTTCTTTGGCTTTATATGACACAAGGGGGTCGCCAGAATATTTCAACCTGTAAAGGGGTCGCGAAATCAAAAATATTGAAAAACACCCCGAAAGTCTTCCCAGGCTCACTAAATGATCGTCAAGCGCGCTAAATTCTGCATGTTTAACTACCTGGCTTGTGAATCTGACAAGTCCTTCGTGATTGTAAATGTCAGCTGGACGTGTAGTTTTTATAAAATTATAATTTTCTCTATTATGTGACAAATTTTTAAACCCGAGAAAATAAGAGGATATTTTTTTTATTATCCGATTTTGAAGATACTGCAAGACTCATTTGCTAATTTTGTAAATCAGTCAGATTTAGTTTTAATTACAGTTTATAATTGTATCAATTTATTTGCTAAATTTCAAGCCAGGAAAAATAAGGGTTACAGATCTGCAAAATCAGTCAATTTTTTCGCTAACTGAGATAAGCCACACTGCTATGTTTATATTTTTTTTCCTACTTGAGTATGACTGGAAAAGTAAGTGGTTGGTTTTTAATTTTTTGAATCCATTCAAAATTTTTGGCACGACTGTGAAATTTTGTTTTTTGTCATGAAAAGAGCAGATTATTTTTTATATACACCGACTGGAAAAAGTACGAAAAAAATTCACTGCTTCTTGACAATAGAAATATAAAAAAAATTGTACCTAAGCAAGTTTCGTTTAATCGACTTATTTTAATCAGAGGATATTCAGTTGATCTATGTTCCATTCTTAATTAAACATCCTGTATATAGTTATAGATAGTAGTTAACCTACTTTAAATAGTAGTAGGTAATAAATATACTTTTAATAGTAGTTAGAATACAAAAAGTAATTGGAATTTTCTCAAAGTTGTTACCGTTTGGTAGTTTACTACTTTCTTAACTACTATTTTAAGTATTTTGATAAAAAAAAATAATTGAGTGCAACTACTTTTTGACCAAAATCAGTTTGAGCGCACACAAAACCCATTTATTTATTTCAAACTCCGCTCTGCGGTGGCAATCATTTTTTCCATTTGTATATAATATATACAACACAATCAGGTATTATGTATTTTACCGCAGGTAAATATCCATTTATACATTGTAAACAAATAATACAAATCATAGTTCGATTTATACCCATATTATTTATTCATTATTTCATAGATAACAACATTTGTTGACTTTATTCATTCGCCCTTTGTAATTGAGTTCAAATAATGCATATAGAATTAGTGTTAATGTTAATATTAGATAATACTAGCAGAAGCCAGTGCGATACCGAGAGGTCTTATTTATTGTTTAATATACCTAAAATAATTATAAATATAAAGATTTATTTTTTATACGCCCACATGTATACGTGTAAACAAACAAACTACAGAACAAATAAGTAGGTGACATCAGGATATAATTTCAAATCCACCAATCTCAGCTCTATTATCCGACCGATTACTTTTGTAAATTTGTGAAAATTATGTCAAACTAATTGTCAATACTTACATTTTTTTTTGAGACAAAATATGATAAAAAATCTGATGTGTCCAATACATGACTTTCCTATCTAGTTAATATAGGCTTTTTCCGGTTATTTTGTACAACCTATTGCAGCATCTCTATAAATGTTTAGAGGATAAACTAAATACATACATTGTCCACATACATCTACCTCGAAACATTTTTCTATAGATATTCATTGAAAACGAAAATACTGAAAAATTTAAATTTAGCACTTTTCCATTACGGTCCATTTTAGAAAAATCATGTATAAACAAAAATTATAGAGATCGATATCGCAAACAACTTTTAGTTCAACAATTTTTATAAAAATCAGAATTTTGCACATTTTGTCAAATTTCTCGGATACGGACCATTTCAGGAAATTTTGACATAAAACAAAAATTATAGATAATAATATTAGAAGTAACTTTTATTTGAACAATTTTCTTCTCCAAACATAAATAACAGATATATTCCATAAAATATAAAAACGGCCTCCCATAAAGTACCCCTCCAGATATTCCGACTTTGTCCAAAATCTAATCATTTCACGTCAGGCCGAAATAAACCTTAAGTTTAAAATTTAATATTTTTTTCTTTATCAGTTTTTGAGTTTTCTTCAAAATTCGAAATTTACACATTTTCTCAAATATCTCGAATACGGTCCATTTTAGAGAAATTATGTATATAATAAAAATTATAGAGAATTATATTACAAACAACTTTTATTTAAACAATTTTTATAAAAAATAAGTGACTAATATTATAAAAGAAATAGCAAATCTGGCAACATTGCAAATATCAAATCTGGAATCTCCGTATCTCAAAATAGGTGTACCCCAAATTTTGTACAATTAGGACTATTACTTACCGTTTCCAGACTTTTGGGCCACTTCGTATTTGATTTATTTTGTTACTATCTAAAATCAATTTAATAATAAATATTGGGGGGTGGGTGGCTCAGTGGTAGAGTCTCTGCCTGTGGATCCAAGGGTCCCAGGTTTGAATCCCACCGTTGGCCGGGATTTTTTCATTTAATTTAATTATTTAAAATTAATTCTGATGCCTTGGTAGGATTTCCCACTCGACCATTCACTGTTGGGTTCTAATTAACAGTGCTGTTCCTAAAGTGGCGCTGGGAAACAGTAACAAAGCCTTCACAGAACACGAGGCTAATAACCTTAGCAGTTGATGCCGATGACACCAAATTAAAAAAAAAATAAATAAATATTAAGCCATCAAATTCTATAGGATGTTAACCTAACGGTTCGAGTGTTCAGTTTCTATTCGAAAAGTCCAGGGTTCAAATCTAGGGTAAGCCCCAACTTTATTTTATTTTATAAGTAGGCAATTAAAAATATTTAGGTGATTTTTTTATGTATTTTTTTTTGTAATTAGTTAAATACCATTACTTTAAAATAGACCCTAAAAAAAATTGTCCATTAAACAAAATACAAATAAGTGTCCGTGAAAATTCGTGTAGGTACTAAAAATAATTTTAATTTTTTTATGTAACTAAACAAAAAAAAAAGGTAAATTTAAAAAAATTAATTGCTCTCGTCGCTGTCTGCTCCGTGAATGTCTGCATTGTCAGGTGTTTCTGGGATAAGCAGGCGCATTGTTTCAGGCAGAAATGGTTGACTCAACCTGTGTGTTTGACTCCTTTTCAAAGACTTGTAGATAGGTCTGATGTGAGCAATAATCTTTGTAGAACATCTCTGTTGTAGAGGGTTCTGGAAAATTTACTAGAATAATTCTGCCTATACGACCGAAAATTTTTATTCCTCGCTTCTAACAGCCTCTTCGAACATTTGTCCAATGAGAACAATGACGTATTTGATGACAGTGCACAAAGATTTTATGAAGTGTTATTGGATGCCATCCATATAAATTCGTGTAAATTTCCGCAGTCTCTTTTGCAAATTCTGTAAACTTAATCTCATCGATTTTGTGACCAAATGACAAAGGTTCTAGTATTACTTTTAGTTTGTAAATAAAAGATAGGTCAATACCTGTAATTTTGGCAGCTGTTTCGGGGTCACTGAAAAATCATCTAGAAGTGTTTCCAGAGTTTAAATTACCAAATCTTGCCTTGGGAATGTTTATTATTAATCTTATTCGCTCCTTAAATTCCTTTTGAATTTTTTATTTCGTTTCCTTAACAATCCGTTTCTCTTCAGGTGTTCTGGCTTGCCACTTCTTCAATGGGAGTTTATAGGCAATATGAAGAAGGGTCTCAAATATCTTTATTCTGGCATGAAGAACAGAAAGTCCGAATCTCAGGGCTTTTGGATTTTCGACATTTGTGTTTTGAAAATCGTTAAAGTTTTTCGGGGTTTTTCGACAAATGTAGAATTTCACTGTAGTGCTCGTATTTGCAGCCGAATTAAAACATTTACATTGTAGTTATCATCGTATGTTTAACCTGTATCATTCCACTAGAGGTTTGCACTTCTGTGCTTTGCAAATTTTTTACATGATCTTCGATGTATTTTATTTCCTCTTTAATAATATCAACGATTTCGTAGAGGAACCTGATACGAATAGGCCGACAGAATCTTGTTGATGACGGTGTGGGATTCTGCCATATAATTTTCTTGTTAATTCCAGTATGGACTTGCAACCTTAGGGGCACCATGGAGCTTTGGAAAATATTGGAATCATCACTTGTTAAGTCACTAAAACTGTGTTGAAACTGTGACTGTTGAGAGCCGTCGCAACCCCATTTCGTGATTAACTCAATCTGTGGCATTTCGTCCTGACTCAACTAATCAAACACCTCCCCTAAATATTGGCAGACTCTTGATGTTGTGTGAACCAGAAGGTCTTGAAGGCGAACTTCTGCACAAGTCTCCGTTACTTTCATTGACTTTTTACTCGGATAGGACATTTTCTTTGCTTCTTTAATTAAGGAGTAGCAGGGATATATATTAGTATTGGACTCTCGTAGTATTTCGTACTGTTTCTTTGTCAAACCCATATGAACAAAGAGTCACAGGGCTTCAGCAGGCGTATGCTTAACAAATCCTTTAGTTTTCTTTTTGATTGCTTTTCTAAATTTTTTTGCTCGAGTAGGAGTCGCTGTAACATCTTTTATAATTTTAGACGCATCCGAGTTTCCCGAAATTCGCTGGCTGACGCTAGCTGCTTATGTCAGTTCTTCCACAGATACTTGCTTCCGAAGGTCTTCCGTCTTGCGACGGTCAGTCAATTCTGAGAATAACTTTTGTGGTCGACCAGGTTTGGATGAAGCACGTGACGCCCAAGTGTGAATAGATATGGATGCCTCCAACCATGCGGTGTTTTTTTTAAAGAAACGTTTTTCTGTGTAATTTGCCAAAGACCATCTTTGTTTAAAGTCGGATTTAAAATGGCTTAAATCACGACTTAAAATTTGAAACTTACTTTCGGTACAATTTGTTCTTTCCCGAAGTTGCTGTTCCAGAAAATTTAGTTTTTCGGTTAAACTTCGTTTTCCACTCTCTTTGTAAAGTAAATACAATGATTTTTTGGACAGTTCAATGACATTGTCTGAAAAATCTGTAAGGAAAAAACGTAGTTAGTAGAGGATCCTCATACACGCGAAATACGATTTTTCTCTGTGAAATTGTTCCCACTGGTTGAAAAGATGACATTTGACATTGAGACATTGATTTTGACACAAAATATGTCACACATGTCAAAAAAATTAGAATTTCGTTTTTTATTTTGTCTTACTTTTGTTGAACAAAATATACATTTATAATTAAAATTTTAAAGGTTAAAAAATGTAGACAAACGGGGAATATATTATACCTGCAGTATATTCTACATAAGTTACACGGAAAAAAAATTGTAGAACAAATTTCTACAATTATAGATTTTTTTCTCTACAATAAATAGTACATATAGGGACAGGGACAATTTGTAGTAAAAATTTCCAAATATTTGTGGAGAATGTATTGTAGAGTTATTATCTACAATATTTAGTAAAAATATCCAAATGCATCGTAAGAATTGTTCTACAAATTGTTATAATTTTTGATATTCATTGTATAAATTTATATTAAAAATGTATTGCGTTTTATGAAAATAAATACGAAAATTTTACACAATAAATATTAAAAATTCATACAAATTGTAGTAATTTTTAATAAAATTTGTAGTAGTATTCCATAATTATTATAATTATAACCTAGAAAAAAATGTTCCTTAATAAAATATTCAATTTATTGTTTTAATATAAAAGATACAAAGTCTTAATTACATTATGTAATAAATAACAGTAATAATAGCGTCCTCAGTCTCAGTTGGCTTTTCTGCACCTGATAAATATGAAATAAAAATTAATACCAATTGAACCGTTCATATCCTTAAAACGGGAATATTTATCACCTTTACACTGATTTGGATATTAAATGACTAAGTCAGATAACTAACAAAAATGAGAAAGTAGGTACTCGTATGTCACAATTAAGACAAAAAAACATTATTGAACTTGGCACAAAATTCGATCGTTGAACACAACATTCGATCGTTGGCCACAACATTCGATCGTTGGCCACAACATTCAATCGTTGGCCACAACTATTTTTTTTAAAATAATCTACTAAGGTTATTTAAATTAGTTATCTAAAGGTAAATTATTCAGAAACAATAATAAATGTACTTACCACCAATAGAATTTATTATTAAAATTTACTCAAACGCATCGGTGTTTATAATATAATAATGTGTTATAGGTACTCGTATATGTACCATGCTTTGTTATCTGAACATGGCGAACGGCTACTGCTGTCTGGCCATTTATGATCGACGTCAGAAAACGTAGGCCAATAGCAGAATTCTGTTCTGTGCACATGACTTAGAATTTCTACAATATTATAGAATATTTTTGAACAAAATTGAATTTTTTTCATAAGAAGGGATGTAAAGTATTAATATTTTTGTAGAGAAAATTACTATTTTTTGTAGAGATAATTATAAATATTTGAACAAATTTTTTACAGAAGTTAGTAGTAGTAATTACGATAAACAATAGTAAAATATACTAAACATTGTGGACTTTTTTCCTATTGTTGTAGCATTTTATTCGACAATTCAATTGCTACAATAATGAATAGTTTTTAAATATAAATTGTAGTAAAATTTTCTACAAAATGTTAAGTATTTTTCTACAAGTCTACTACTACAACATTGTAGTAAAATTTTCTAGTCACATTTTTTTCTGTGTTTATTAAAAAATAGGATATATAACTCGATCGTACACGGCACATTACTAAAACATTTACATTGCAAAAATGTGCTTTGTAGACAATTAAATTAAAGACAGATAAGAAAACAGTTCATATGTCAAAATGAAGCTCAAATTATACATTATTAGCAAGTACTTAGTACTTACCTTCTTCTTCAGAACTCATCAGAAAAGTTTTATCAAAACAACGAAAAATAGCGTATTACACCCACTGCAATTTAAGTAAAATTTGAAGCGTACTGGTACATATGCTAGACTGGTACAAGCTCAAAATCAGAACGTTTTATTTGTGACATTAATTAAAAACCGAATCATATACAACAAAATAATTTATTACTTGTTACTATTTCCACTTATTTTTAAATTACTTATTTTGTCCGTTGAATAAATATTTACATTCGTGCGCTTTTTGCAAAGGCGAGGAGAGGAGTATGATAATTTCAAAACTAAACAGATCCGCATTTAAAACTTAAAATATCATATCTTTCTAATTTTTGAGTTTATGAAATTCTATACCCTATTAATGACTAATACAAAATGGCTAATATATTGGATTTTAAATCTATTTAGGTTTTTTTGTCACAATAAATTTACGAAATCTCGTTTAAATTTCCAACTGACTATAAAAACTTCTATAAAATGAATTTATCTTTAAAAACCTTAGTTCCAATATAAAGTTAATGTGCACGTTAGGATTTAATAATGGCCTATATTGATAGTCCAGTCCTGGTTCGTGATATTGCATCCGAATAACGTATAAAAATTGCTGCCCTAATTTCATTCATACAGCAACTTTATCAGTAAATCTAACACGATACTAATATTTACCTTTAGGAAAAAAGTAAAGTGGGGTGGAATAAAAAGTATACATTTATATGCTTTTATTGTAGTCTGATGGGTTATTCATAAAGTTTGCTTTACAGCTCTAAACTTAACATGAAATATATAGGCCCTAAGAATTTTATAATGTTGAAACTTTTATAAAGTTCTTTATATTATGCCTATTTTTAGACTATTACGGCAATTAAATGGTTTTTTATATTATGTGTATTAAAAAAGTCAAGGTTTTATAACTATTATCAAAAGCTGTAGATCAGAAAACTACCTCACAACAATAAAAAAAAAATGGCAATAAAACATTTCTTATACCTCTATACCTATACTTTTTCCATGGATTAAATCATTGTTGCGTGTGTTGTTTTTTTTGTTTTCATCATTAAAATATGTGTTTAAAAGATAAATAGAACATTTCATTACCTTTTTTTTTTTAAACTTTATTAATGATTTACTTACCGCAGTAAAAGGTCATAAATTATCATTCATTGGAGGAATATAAACATTATGCCGTCTCAATACATTTAACAGCTTTCAAACGAATAATGATAAAACATGTGGTTTCTATATAGGTGTCACCTTGAAGACTGTACACCCTTAATATCTTTTTTCCAGTAAATATTGTTACGCAGCACCCTGAAGTAGCCTGCGGCTATTATAGGAAACGTATAGATAGAAAAAGAAGTGGAATGTTACTCATCGCCCTACAGTGTGCTGTGGTCGTTATAAGTAAAAGTACAAGTAAAAGAAGATAGAATAGTCCAGAAATGTCATTACCCGTCAAGAATATTCTAGACGACAGTTCGCGAAGGTTCGGGAAGGGAAGCAAGCTATATAAGGATGATCCTGACGTCAGTTTGGAGTTTTATGATAGACGTTACACGTTAATGTTATCAGTTGCATGGTTGTTGTTAAATTTCAGTTGAAATAAATTGCGTAACATTGGTGACAGCGGTGGGATACAAAGTAAAAATTCATGGTAAATACAAGATCCACTGAGTACGAAGCAGGCATGGATACTTCAGGCCCACCAGCATGGTTTTTGAAGATGGAAGGGGAAAAGGAAAGGCGTAGGAAGGAAGAAGAGGAGGAAAAGGAAAGGCGAGAAGAGGAGATGGAAAGGCGTAGAAAGGAAGAAGCGGAGGAAAAGGAAAGGCGAGAAGGAAAGACGCAGGATGGATGAGGAAAAAGAGAGGGACGAGAGGCGTAGAAAAACTGAGGTAGAAATTATAAATGCTTTGCTACAAATCCAGGAAAAGAAAGAGGTTGGTCAGCTTAAAATTAGAGTAGATTTGTTAGAGCAACAACAAGAGCATTTAAGAACTAATTTAGAACAGCAGCAAGTGTATTTAAAAACTAATTTAGAACAACAACGAGATAATTTAAAGCAACAGGAAAAGGCTAGAGTAGAGTTCGAAAGGCAAATTAGAACTGAACTAGTTGAGTTAGAAAAAAGAATTCGATAAGAAATAAAGAAACTGAAAACACTACCTCGTCCTCATTTATACTCGAACCAAACCATATCCAAAACCCAGTTTCACAAAGTCATACTAGTAAGACCATTAAGCCACCCACGTTTGACGGTCAGACAACATGGGAAACGTATCGACTCCAATTTGAAGTTGCAGCTAGAGCCAATGGCTGGACCGAGAAAGAGATGGCGGCTTCATTGATAATGTCGCTGC